TGTGGTCTCGGGGACGGTGCGGTCGACGACGATGGCGGAGTCCTTATCTCCTACGCGGATGGTGATCAGGGAATCATAGCCGGTGGAAGGGAGGCCGGCTTTGCGGACACAGGCATCCGTGATGAAGTTGCCGGTGGCACCAATGTCGAGAAGGGCCCGGAACTTCACCATCGATGCTCCAAAGGAGACGGCGACGAACTTGAGCTGGAACTGGGCGGTCCCGGCACAAGCGGAGGAGATCATGGCATTGAGGCGGCGCTGCTCGAGGCCTAATCTAACAAGCCGAGTGTGTCGGTCTTGTTCCTCAACGAGATCGGAGAAAGTGATGGTGGAGGGGTTGGGGAGAAGGGTAGTGGAACATGTGGCCGTGGAGAAAGTGATGGCGGAGGTGAGAAAGGCGATCATGGTGGAGAAGGCAGGTAAGGAGATCGGTGAGAGGGAGCTCGGGCTCATGGGCAAGGGCTGCGGCGAGGTGGGGGAAGCATACCCGCTTGATGCGGGAGATGAAGACGTAGTCGGGAATGAGAGTTGACGGGATGTGGAGGCGGAGGGAGCGAATGTAATGGATGAATCGCTTGGTGGGGCCGGTTTGGCGGAGGTTACAAAATTGATCGATGTAGTCATCGATGGTCTTTTGCGGACGGGAGGTGGCGATGAGAAGGCCGGCCCATTGAAGGAAGGTGATGCGGGGGAGGCCGTTGGCTCGGCAGTTGTTGGCTTCGGTTAACCACCATTGAGCGGCGGCGCCTTGGAGGCGGGAGGTTGCGGTGGGGAGCCAATGAGCGAGGGGCATGTTGTGGAGGTCGAAAGCATTTTGGATTTGAGAGAGGAAGAGGTCGTCCTCGTGGGGGAGGCCGGAGAACGTCGCGATATCGGTGGCGCGGAAGGAGCGGGGAATGTCCCCGTTGCGGGGGACGATGCAAGCGAGGTTGTTGAAGTTGCGGTCGTCAGGAGAGGTGTCATAGCAGGTGTGATCCTGACTGCGGTCACCAAGGAGGTAGCAAGGAGGATGTTGGGGTATGGCGGGGTGTTCGCCCGAAAGGACTTGGGAGTAAGAGGGGTGGAGAGAGGGGATGGTGGAAGTAGTTAGGAGAGGTTGGGTGAGGGGGGAGGAGAGGCGAAGGGGAGTGGTTCGCGTAGTGGTGGAAGCGCTTGTAGTGGGTTGTGAGGAGGGGAGGGAAACGGGAAGGGAAATGACGGGGGTGGAAGAAGGTGTGGTGGAGGACGGTGGGGGGGTGGTGTTGGATGATGAGGCCTGGACGGCTTGGCCAGCGGAGAGGCTTTGGCCAGATCGGCCGGAGGAGGGGGGTTGGCTATTTTGGCCGGAAGAAGATGGTTGGCTGGTTTGGCCGGCCGGGGTGGATTGGATGGATTGGCCGGAGGAGGAGGGGGGTGGTGACGTTGTGACGATGGTGATGGCGGGTGTGTGGTTTTCGAGGGAGGTGACACAATCGGATATGGAGGTCACAGAGGCCTCGATTCTGCGGAGCGAGGCAGAGAGTGCTTGAAACATGGAGAGGAGAGATGTGTTCTCCCCGGTGCCTGGCTGGTCGACAAGCTCGCGGTGGATATCCTCGACGGAATCCATGCGGAGCGAGCCCATGTGGATGCTTGAGGTGCCTTCGGCCATGGGGAGGGACGAAGGTGGGGCAGAGGGAGAAGATGGAGTGGAGGGGACGACGGAGGTGACAGCAGCGGCGGAGGTGGCAACAGCGGCGGCTGCAGCGGCGTCGGCGGGGGCACGTTGGGAGTTCTTGGTTTGGCGTGGTGGCATGTGGGAATCCCTTATTTATTTATCAATAAATTCAAAAATGAAGATGATCGCCAAGTTCTTTTTTTTTTTTTTTTTCAAAAAATAAACGCTGAACAGAAAGAGAGAATTAATTTCGAAAAAAGAAATTCTGATTTAGATTTAAATTTATTTACAAGAAAACGTGAAATTTCGAAAGAAAATATTTTTGAATTACGGGAAAAAAAAAAGTTGAAATTTCGGAAAAAAGATAATTATTTCCGAAAAGGGGTTAATTCCGACAGGAATTAATTTATTCGAAAATAATTGATGAGTTCAGGGAAATTTTCGGAAAACAAGCAATGGATTTCAAAAGTAAATTCAAAATTTCGAAAAAGGAATTCAAAAAACTATTCCCGAATTTCCAAAATTTCTGAAAAAGAATTGTTTCGGATTTCAAGAAAATTTTTGGAAAGGGAATTTTATGAAATAGGAGAAAAATAATTAATTAAAATTATTTTCGAAGTTCAAAAAGGGAGAAGAAATATCGAAAAAGAGTTTAATTAATTCTAACATATTTTCAAAATTTTCGAAGAGAAAAACGAATGAATTGAAAGTAGTTTCGAATTTCAAAGAAATGTCGAAAAAGGAAAAATTCTAACGTATTTCCAGTTATGAAAAGGAAAGAGTTTCATTAATTCTAAAATGTTTTCCAAATTACAAAAATTCCGAAGAAGAATTAATTAGGAATGTTTTCAAATTATGAAAAAGAAATGTTGAAAAATAATTTAATTAATTCTGAAATTTTCGAAAATTTTCGAAAAAAGAATTAATTAAACTGATTTTCGAATTTCGAAGATGAAATGTCGAGAGAGAATGCTTAATCCTTTGTATTTTCGAAAATTTCGAAAAAGAAAAAAAAGGTTATATATAATATATATTATATATATTTGAGAGAGAAAAATAAAAAAATGTCGAGATTAAACGTTTCAAAATGGATGTTAGAGGAAAATAATGATAACGGGATAGATGGGTAAATCGACGGTGAAGCGATCCTATCTATGATGATGGTGATGATGATGATGATGATGATGATGATGATGATAGCGGGGGAACG